ATTTGCTCTTTACTATCATAGTTTTTAGTGGTTCTACTTTATATTATCATTTGTATAACTTAGTTTTTCATCTCTTCTTTTAAAATATATTTTTTTTTATTGCAGTAACATTGGTTTACAATAATGTGTATGTTTAGAGGTATAGGATCACACCCCCAGATGTAGTTACAGCTTCTAAATCTAAAGCTACTTTTCTCCTGTTCTCTTTATTTCAATGCTTTTTCACCTTTGGCCTTTATTCTCCTTTTCCCATCACTTCTCACAGACCCTCTGGTCCAGGCTACCCACTTTATAGAAGAAAAATAAATTCAGAGAAGTAGGTGAAATGACTTCTTGGTTTGGAATTCAGAGGGACTTGGCTCTAACCACTCCCCCTTTCTTCACGATTTATTTACTTATGTATACAAGAACTGGGGTACAGGCCAGAGGTGCAGGGGGGTGAGAGGATTCATCAGAGACAGAGTGGGGAACAGAACAGGCAGATCTACTGAAATACAGTCCTGAGGGGAGCAGTGGGCGAGACAGGAGAGGTCTGCTGCACCATATATGGATCACCTCCCTGCCTTGGGATCGAACTCCTGTTGCAGTAGTTGCGGATGGCTTCATAATGCTGACGTTTAACCCATGGGCCACCAGGGAGACCCCTACTCTCTCCCTTTCACTGTTACAATAAATTTTCAGAGTTGGTAGAATACTGCTAACATTTTAAAAACAAAAAATAAATTAAAAGCCACTGCTATATTGATTATAAAGGTGATAAAATTAAAAGGTAATTTAAAGATACATAAATAGGGCCTCCCTGGTGGCGCAGTGGTTGAGTGCTGGGCTGTGAAGCTGCCCACAGCCTCTGCAGTGCCTGTTCGATCCCCGGCTGCCAGCGAGGGTCCCATATGGCACGTAGACCTCTCCTGCCGCGCCCACTGCTCCCCTCAGCAGTACACTTTGTCAGTCTGCCTGTTCTGCTCCCTGCTCTGGCTCTGGTGGATTCTCTCACCCTCCTGCGCTGACTATACCCAGTGCTTGTATAAATAAATAAATAAATCTTAAAAAAAAAATAATGAAAGGGTTACTGTTTTAAAAAAATAAATAAAAAATAAAAATACATAAATAAATTTAGAGAACAAACAGAATGCCTTTCTCCTCCCCATTTTTTGTTGTTACAGATTTTGGTGTATCTTAAACAGCATTCTTTGAGAAAGGGAAACAACTATTAGTAAAGAAAGTTTCAGCTTAATTTAAAAAGCTACATAATAATATCACTCATTTCCCTTATAAATGAATATGTAAGCTATAGCAATTCCTGAAATATACCTACAGGAGTATATATCAAAATGAATATGTAAGCTATAGCAATTCCTGCCTACAGGAGTATATATGAAACTCTGCCTACTTGAAATCCTTAATCCTTAAACTCATTCTTTTCCCACCTTTCTGTCTCCTGTCTTCGCCTCTGCTATGTTTTCAAAGTACAGGATGAACTAAAGTCAAAGTGGAAAGGAGGGCATGATTTAAAACCGCTAGGAGCTTTGAATAATCAGTTTACACTCATAGTTTTAAAACTATTTCATCTTTTAAATAGTTACTTTGGAAAAAGAAATGTTAGAACAACTGTGTTTTATTTTCAGGCAAATAGTGCTTAAATCATTAATAAATACAAGTCTTAGATTATCTTAGACATCAGTGAGAACCAATGAGAGAGGATTGAAATTGCTTACTACTTTGCTTATCTGTATCGATAAGAGCTGGTAAAGTCATAGTAAAGAGTGTATTCGTCTCTTTCCTCTCAAGTGGAACATTATTTACAATTATAAAACATTTTAAACCATTATTCTAAAAAACCTAGATCTCAGTAGTAACAACGAAGATGCCATTTCTAGAAATGGAAAATCATGTAACAAAAAACAACATTGAAAGCAGAGGAAAATAAATCTAAAACAAGACTGATCAAACTGGTTGACTTGACAATTTTGGCTAATCTGACCAGTATTGTATTTAATCCTTGCTGGTTGATTTTATATAGTTAATGGTCAAAAGTCACTTCACTAGCCATATAATAATGGATATGAGAAATATTAATACTGTGAAACAAATGATAAATTTTGATGGATGGGCACACATACAACTTGTTAGATGTACAAACTTTGCATATTTTTAACTAATATGTAAGTTAGTGAAAATCATGTAAGTTAGTGAAAAGTCCCTGCTCTACAATGTTCAAATAACTAAGGAAATTGTTCTTTGTTAAGACACTTAAATATAACCCTAGATTTTTCTTATGAAATGCAGATGAATCATGTACTAATTATGTGTGGAGATATTTATGTGTTCCTTCAGTAAAAACAAAAACAAAACCTACTTTACTCACTTAAGACTTCTGGACGTTTTGTTCTTTTTCCTATGTCTATTACTTTACCTGTTATCTGGACTTTCCATTACTGGAAGTTATAACTTCAAAGGACTGTGTGTGCTTACTTGTGAGATACGTGGGCAAAGCAACTTCTCAAAGTAAGGACAAGTAGGAGAGAAAGGAGAGTTCTCTAGAAAGTATTTGGCAAACTGATCTGTTGCTTTGTCTTAACAGAATCTTCTATGATGATATCTTGAATTTCTATCTACTTCTCTAATGTATTCCTTCAGTCACTTCTTACTTCTTACACTGTAAATGCAAGATGTTTATTTGACCATCCTCTCTCTCCTTCAAAATTATCCTCTTACCTGAGGGTTTGTCTAATCACCTAACTTGAACTGTCATCTCTATTTTGTGAATGTCTCAACTATTTATTTCTAAGATCTTGGAAATTTCTTTTTGAATGCCATACTTTAACATTAAATTTTAAAATCTAAGTCTGAACATATTATTTTTCCTGAAATTAAAACCAACTCACCTCGTATAAAGTTCCACAGGAATCGTTTGCTAGTTATTTTGCCAAATCACTGAAGTTCTACTTTATACCAGTTTATTCTATAGATTTTTACCATGGCATGGTTCTTTATTTAAATGTCACCAACAGAAGATTCCAGGCGCTCTCTTATCAGTCTAATCTGGTTTACAATTTACTTTTCCAATGAGAAGTCTCAATATTTTCCTTTGCCAACCTGGTACTCTCTAAAACCCTACTGAATTATATAAAGCTTCCATAATGTCATATTTAAATCACCTTAGATTCCTCAAGCGTCTAGCACAATGTCTTATACTAGTAATACAGAGAGGAAAGACAATCCGGATCATTAACAACAAACTGGAGATGGGAGTAGAAAGAGAACCAAATAGAAGATCCATAGGGCTTGAGAATACAATGAGGTGATACTCACTGAGGATTTCAGGTTTTCACATTCCAGGTCTGTTTTTTCTGACACTACTCAGTTTCAAGAAAACTTGACAGCAGTGGCTCTTAATACTCCATATACTAGAGAGTGTTTTAGAAATATCTAGGGGTGGTTTCTGGTTATCTGAATAACTGGGGAATGGGAATGCCGTACGGGCAAGGGCTAGGGATGCCTGATTATTTTGCAATAAAAGGGATGGTCACACTTGGCATAGTTTTAAAATGTTCTGCACAACTCTGCTAATGCAAAAACCCAATTTATAATCATAAAGCCTAAAGCTCACCTTCATTTTATACATAAACAACATTTTGCAGTTTTGAGACATTGTTTTATAAAATCATAAACATCTCATAGATATACTGTCCTTTGATATGACTGAAAAGTTAGTATGAGTTGCTCATCACTTTGAAAAAATCATCACAGAAAGCAATGTTCTTCATATATTCAAATCACCATGCCTCTATCAGTTTTATTTGTAGCTCTTTATTTCCTCTTTCTTTTTACATTACTATCTCCCCTCTCAGAAAATAAATCTTCCACAGTGATGGTAAGAAATAGGACAGTGAAAAAAAAACCCACCAAATTCGCAGCAATGACTTTGTCATCTAGCCTCAATTTTCTCATGTATAAATGAGTATATACTCTGGTTATCTTATAGGGTTATGAGGGGAAAAAAAAACTGATAAAACACCTATGAAGTATCTCATAAAATATCAAATTCTAATATATTTTACAATAGAAACAAATTAGAAGCAATATTTCTGAGTACAATTGAAATAGGAAAAAAAAATCCTAAAAAGTCTGCCTCCAGGGCCTCCCTGGTGGTGCAGGGGTTAAAAACACAGCACAATCAAGCTATCACCAGCCACTGCAACATAAGTTCGATCCTCTGCTAGGGAGCTAACCCACATGGCGCAGCAGACCACTCCTGTGTTGCTGCTGTTACCCTCAGCAGTATATTTCAGTAGATCTGCTATTCTACTCCCCATTCTGTCTCTGGTGAATCCTCTCAACCCCTGCACCTCTGACCTACACCCCATTTGTTGTATGTATAAATAAAATAAATCTTTAAAAAAAAGAAAAAGAGTCTGCCTCCAGTATGTTTACAAAATAACAGTGTAGAAATTTAACAGCATACAGGATCAGGAATACTTAAACACTTAATAAAATTAAACTCCAAACTTGAGTTGTTCAATTCAGTAGTCATGCATTTGCTAAAGTGTAGTTAAGAACTTACTACAAAAAATAAGGTATATTATGAAAAATAATTTCATCTTTTGTTTTTTTTTTTTTTTAAGGATTTATTTATTTATGCATACAAGAGCTGGGGTACAGGCCAGAGGTGTGGGGGATGGGGTGAGAGGATTCACTAGAGACAGAGTGGGGAATAGAACAGGCAGATTTGACTGACATACACTGCTGAGGGGAGCAGCAGGCGAGATAGGAGAGGTCTGCTGCGCCATGTGGGTGGCTCCCTGGCTGGCCGGGAATCAAACTCCTGCTGCAGTGGCTGAGGACTGCTTCATAGGTTGCATCTTAACCCCTTGCGCCAACAGGGAGTATTTTTACATTCTAAAATGTGACATGAGGCTTTAAGCAAAGCAGTAACAAAACTGATTAAACAGTAGCAATATTGATCTGCAGATATAAAACAATAAAGAATGTGAACTTACTTCATCCGTGAGCTCTCCAAACACTGTTATGACATCTATTAAAAGACTTGCAGTATAGAAGGACTTAATCATGTTTCTGGAAGAGAAAAGAGTGCTGGTCTAGTTTAAATGAAAACCATATAGTACTACTCATTGGTTATAAGCAAAAATTCCAATGTTTATAAAGTACTCTGAAATTAATGTTTTAAATAAAATCAGAACACAATGGCGCTTCAAGAACACAATGGAGCTTCTTTTGTAATCTCCTTAGAAGTAACAACACATATATAAGTAAATGTTAACAACAAAGTTTTATGGTATACTTCTAATTTTAGAAAATATAATTATAGTGTTACCTGAATCCACATCAATCCATGAATATATATGTATTATTACAAAAATGATATCCCATTTGAATTAGCAGGGTTGGGAATTTTTTAAATCATCATAACTGAAAAAGGCTGGTTTTGGATAAAATCCACTCTTATATGCAAGAATGGCTACTTAAGGAATACTTACTGAAAAATGAGTCTGGCCTGGGTAATTTTCAGTTATTTTCTCTAAAAACAAAATTACATTTATAGCCAAAATCATTCTAAGATTCTACAAGTAATTTAAGAAAAAAATATAAATCATTAATTGGGAAGTTAAAAAGTATTCAATACAAATTAAGTAATTCTGGTCATTATTATAATTAAATTACATGTGATATATAAAAGTATTATAATTAAACATGCAATTTTAATTTTCCTCTTTATTTACTTACTTATGAAATCGCCCAGCTCGATCTTCATTATCTGCATACAAAAACATTTTCAGTGCATAATTCTCCAAATGGGCACAACCAACTATTTCTTGAGTGACAGCTTCATTATCACCCAACTGTTTCTTAAGCTAAAATAAAACCAGATAGAAAGTTTACAGCTTTTAACTCACAAAACTATATGCTTAAGTACAAATAATCCTAATAATCATTATAAGCAAATTATTTACATTCATTTCTATAAATATGTTCTCAATTAAATCTTGTAAAAGACAATTGCTGTTGCAGTCCAAGGTATTTAAAATAAAATTCAACGCTTACAAAATTTTAATGAAATACACTGATATTTTAAAAGTATAATCTAGCTCTAAAAATAAAAATAACCAAGAATAAAAAGATAACACATTTCAGGTACACACACGTAAAGCATCCAAAAAATATTTCCAAATAATGTATTAATTGGAATTAGGAAATTTTATCCTAACCACTTATAATGAAAAAATTTAACTTTCATTTCCATCTCAATTTCCTCTATCAAATATATATATAAAAAAACTAGAAGGATCATTACATCTTAAAATAGTATCACTAGCTAATAGAGCACAATAAAAAAGATATAATTCTAAGTAAGGTATATAATGACAAACTTAGAATTCAGTTATGGAAGCTTAAATTTACAGATATGTATCTCTCAAATTAATACAATTTACAATTGTGTAGATTTCCAGGGTCTGTTACTCATGAAAGGATGACTCAAAGGCCATTTATGATAACATGGAACAAGATATAATAATATATGCAATGACACTGGATCTAATTTATGCTTACAACTCCCTTAGCAGTATGATGCAAATAAAAATTTGCGTCTAATTTTTCCTCAGCTATAAAAATGTCGCTGACTGCTGCCAAGGGAAACAACCAGAATAGCAATATGCACATGCATAAATGAAATAAAACGGCATTTTAAGCATTAATCACAAAATAAATTATCAGGATGAACTTACAGCTTCTAACTGATCCATTAGCTTTGATAAAAATTTACGACATTCAGGAGTTTTACTATCAATCTTCATTCCAGTTTGCATCGAATATAAACGACCTATGAAAAAAGAAAAAGTGTTGAATTGGGCTGGCTGCCACTATGATCATGGGCTACAGGTTTAATAAAAGGAGTTCATGTTTCACTATTTTGTGTGTGTGGACAACAATGTGGAAGCTAAAATTGACATATGTTTGTATAAAAGTTTCCTGGGCCTCCCTGGTGGCGCAGCGGTTGAGCGCTGGGTTGTGAAGCTGCCCGCAACCTCTGCAGAACCGGTTTGATCCCTGGCTGCTCCCGGGCCACCGGAGGAGGGTCCCACATGGCGCGCAGACCTCTCCTACCGCCCGCTGCTCCCCTCAGTAGTGTGTTTCATCAGTCTGCCTGTTCTGTTCCCTGCTCTGTCTCTGGTGAATTCTCTCACCCTCCCACGCTTCTGACCGTACCCAGTTCTTGTATAAATAAAAATAAATAAATAAATAAATAAATCAATCAATCTTAAAAAAAAAGTCATAGAAGTTTTCTAATTTTTGATTTTTAGTAAATTTTCAAAACCCCCATAAAAATTAAAAAAAAAAAAAAGAAAAATGTGATTTGAGCAATTTCATTTGCTAACATCTTTTTTACGAACAAATTTTAAAATGGGTTTTGTCTAATCATTTAAATTTTAAATAAATTTAGAAGTCAAACTTTTATTTACCCACTTACAAATAAAAAGAACATAAAAATGTTTTCCAAAGATACAAGCAATTCATGATTACAAATTTTCACTAAATGTTTTCTTTTGATATTTTTATATTAAAAAATAGGACTAGAGCCTACACTCTTAGAAGACTTGCAACTTGAAAGGCTACCAAATGTACAAAAGCACTTGCCAAGTGCCAGATAAGTGATAATGATAAAACATACAATAAGGGCTAAGAAAGTGGGGAATGCAAGCTATTAACTAAGGCTAATAAGGAGAACTGCTATAATGATTTAAGTACACAAGTGAAAAAAATACATATGCTCTTTGAAAGCATTCTAAATAACACCTATGATGCTAACAGGCCAATGCTAAACAGTTTGGGGGTAACTGCTGTTATTATTGGTACATACATATATTGTCTGTAACTTACATTGATCAACATGTTCTGGGGATTTCTGTGAGCACTACAGTGCTCCCCAGTATGGACACACATTCTAACTGAAGCACATTCAGGCAGCAGTTGGATGTTTATTAGTACAAATCATGTTGCCAATACCATACCTTCTTGTGCCTACATTCAAGACTACCCTGAGGCAGCTAACAAGATGTGGAACAGCTGGGTCATAGCATGTGTATCTTGTTCTTTGAGAACTACTCTTCAACTCTCCTCCCAAACAGATTACCAACATACAGTTATATCTGCAACACAGACAAGCACTCACTTCCCCCAGACTCATGGAAAAGAAATGGTATCATTAAAACTTCCTGTCACTCTCAGAACTGCAAGTGTTATCTCAGTTTGATTTCCATTTTCACTACGGAAAAGGTATTAGATATTTACTGGATAGCTCTATAACCTCCTTCATGAATAGCTATGAAAACAAAAATCTTCACTTGAATTTTCTATTGGGTTTTTTGCTTTATAACACATTGCCTGTGTCAGGTTCTTTGTAGAGTAGTAAGCAGGGATATAATGTTGCCCCCACCCCTATGAATCTTGTGAACTCTATCCTCTTCCTATTTATTCATCCTTAAATTTGAATTTAAGTACCATGATGATGGCCAATGTATCCCTGGCATGTAGAATAGTGCTTGGCCTTCAGTAAACATTTTCTGGATAGAAAAATAAAAGAACAGCTCATTCTATCCTAATAATTTAAATGTCACTTTTATCATTCATTAACATATGTTAAGTTTTCAAGAGACAGAGCCCTCATTTCTGAATACTGGCTATCTTTTGCTTTATCTACTCCAGTTTTATAACATGGCTTGGTATATGAGAGCTACTCTCAGGATTTACAATTCAAATGCACAATTCAAATGTATTACAGTTCAAATTCATAATACATATTTATACCATCTGTATGCATTTTCAGTTTTTTAAAAAGATTTATTTATGCATACAAGAACTGGGGTATAGGCCAGAGGTACAGGGGGATGAGAGGATTCACCAGTCATTACCTGTGTAATCTAACTTCAAGATCCTGACACCCGTATCAAAATCCTTAATAAATAATCCTTCCTTTTTCTAATGATTTGAGATTTCTTTTTAATATATTTTTTAACATTTCCTACCTATTTGATCTCATTGTTATCTTAGGTCAAATGTCATCTCTTTATGTGATTCTTGTAACTCACACCTTTTCTTCCCTTAATTTCAGTATTTCTTACTGTATTACCCAAAATTTCTGAAGAATTTTAAACATTCTTATTCTTATTTTAAGAGGAGACTTTTAGTTGAGATTAGAGACTGGTAAAGATGAAGTGAGGCATTAAGTATTTTTTAAGAGTTAACTTGAGAAAAACTGATTTGAACTGTACACACACCAAAATCTACCTACAAAATCTACCTACAGAAGCCAGAGGAAAGACTTACATAGAGAAAGTGTGAAAGTGAAGAAAAGATATTATTTGACAGGTTTAAAGGCTAAGCTGTTGTGATTGGCCATCCTCAGTATTTTGATCGGTATTTTTAAGGCATTTGCAGCTTAGATTTCAGTTTGCGTATGGAGGCAGTCCAGGGTTAGAGCCTTTAATGACCTCCTTGTTTAATGTAACAGATCATTTCTATGCTGGGTTACTCATATTTCCCCTAATAGAGTTACCACCCTATGCCATATTGAGGCTGAGGCCTTTGAGACCAACCATGATGACAGGGACTGGTAAGAAAATTGGCTGGTGTATGTAGAAGACTATATTAGAATTTTTATTGACATTTTTATTTCATTTTTTAAAGTTTCTATTTTTTATAATATTTTGTTATACATATAGCATTAGCACATCAATACATACATGTAATATAAAATATACATAAGAGACTTTAATTCTCTTATGTATAGATGATCAAAAGATTAAGGATCACTATTTCTCACTCTTTTTAATAATAACTACTTTCTTACCCCCATCAGCCCATGCCTTTTCCCTACACCTCATTCCTTCTATGGATATTTCCTTAACTAATGTTTTAGAACAAACTCCTCTCCATACATCTCCTCAGATTCCTCTGCCCTCTGTCTTAAGGTTTTCCTCAATGTATTCAAAATAAATTTCATGCTACTTTCTTTCACTTGATCTGGTTAAGTCTTAAATTGCCATTAATCTTAGGCTCTATCCATCACCTTGAAATTTTCACATGGGTAATCAATACTGCTAGCTGTCTATCCATATTCATTCTTCCCATCTTTACTAACAAGACCCCTCCATCACTAGGGGGTTATAAACTATGAACCCAAGTAGCACATTTCCCACTATTCCTCAAAGCAACAGTCATCTAACTAAGACTAATACGTGAAATTGACTAATACCAGACTAATACCAGAAATTGTTAGGAGAGATTCCTGGAGAATCACCTTAAAAAGGGGAATGATAGCAAGGGAAGATCTTACTGACCCTTTTCCTTTTCTCCTTTCTGCTGCTGCATGCATAAAAATAAGGTGACTGAAACACTAGTAGATATCTTGGACCACAAGGCAACTTTGGACATTGTAATCCTGTGCTGGTTTATATATATGAAATTGGAAAGAGCTTGGGTAAACCTAATGACTTCATGGAATTGGCACACTTGCCCTGGGCACTGCATCAGATTTTAAGCAAGAGTAAATTCTTATTTTACTTAGCCATTATTATTTCAGATTTTCTGCGTAAGAAAGGAAATCTAATTCTCATGCATACATAGCACCATGTTCTCAATTCTTATTGCTCTCTGACATCCAATAATTGCATATATTCTCCCTTATACACCAGTCACTCTGTAGTTTAATTACCATCTCAAAGTGTCCCATCTCCAAAATCAGCCTATCAAGCATCCCACTGTAAACCCAATTTCCTTTTCATCCAATATTCAATCATACCTATCACAATGGGTTTCCTGTTACCCATTTCTCTATAATTCGTCTTCTCTCCTTTAATGATTCTGCAACCAAATTTGATTTTACAATACAGTAAGCTCTTACTTATTGACAGGGTCTTAGGAACTGAGACTGTAGTGAAACCAATTTACGGCGGCAACTTGATATAAACAAGACCAAACTTCCTGAAGTATGTTTCTGGTCACAAAAACGTCACCAAACTTCTAAAGAAACAAAAACTTCTAAGATTCAATACTAATTTGTATTCATTCATTCCTCACTCACTTTCCAACCCCTTATTCCAATGTAGGGTCACAGGTGGCCAAAACCTATCCTGGTCTCTTAGGGCACTGGGTGGAACCAACCCTGGACAGGACACTCTTTCATCGAGGGGCACAAGCAAACCCTCACTCGCTCTGACTGGGAAAATTTAGACAGAGCAGTGAACGTAGTGCGCTCATCTTTTAAATGTGGGAGGAAACTGAATACCCAGAGAAAATCCTTGCAGACATAGGGGGAATGTGCCAAATCTACACTGCTCCAAGTTGGGAATTGATTTTTTTCCCTTATAAATATAATAATAAACCTATGTTGAACAAAACGACATTATTCAAAAACCTGCTATATTTTTTCCTAGAACTTTACTGCCCTATATCTTTCTTCCCCTGAATATTTTTATTACAGCCCTCTGGCAAAAGCATACTCATATAATAAACTCAACTACCTTCTTTCTCTATGCCTACACAAAGCAGCAGAGACCAGTGGAAGTTCAGCATCACTACAAATCTAATTATCAACCTCAAATGAACTTAATTCTTGCCCTCTCAACCTCCCAAATATAATTTTCAAATATAATTTAATATTTTTAAAAACAACAATGTTACACACAGAAAAAATTTAACAGAAGTCAATCCACACATAAGATTAGGCAGCATCATAATATGAGGAAACAGTAACAGATAATTTCATTTTCTTAAGAGGTCCTTCTCCATATTTTCTTACCATGGTAGTGAACGCTGTGTGAA